AGTCATGGAGGACTAATTGAGCCCCTCCTTCAGAACCCTTCCAAGCTTCCTGTGGAGTGAGGGGCCTGGCTGTTCCCTAAGGGCTTTCTCCCCTGACCCTGGTGAGCAGCAGACCCACCGGGCTGCAGTTTGTCCTACCAGCATCCCTGCCTCACACCTTGCAGCTCACCACCACCGTGTGAGGACCCGTACACCACCCAGCCATGTGGGCTGCGCCCTGGCACACACACCTTGGATGCAGGAGCTGCTTCTTTCTGAGTAGGACGTGAAAGGGCAGCGCGGGGCAATGCTGCTCATCCACCAGACGCACCTGCCAGGGAATCTGGGTGGGCCCAAAGCTTGGACTCTGTGTCTCACACATGGTGGAAACCCAGATGCAGCGGGGGCCTCGTTTCCAGTGTCTTCCCTGGCTCAGGCCAGCCGAACCCCCTGGAAGCTTCCCGGCCTGAGGGGCATGCGAGTAGCCATCACAGATGGCTGTGGCCACACAGGCTCAGCCACCAGAAGACCCAGGATGTGGAGAAGGTGGCAAGGAAACACAGTTGGGTGTAGGTCTGAGGACCCAAGGACCACAAGCTGAAACTGCACAGAGCAGGGACTGTGGACTCGCACCCGGGTCCTGTGGCCCTGCTGGCCCCTTTGGGACAGCCCTGTCTGCCCCCAAGCTGCAGTGTTCAGAGTGGCAGGACCCTCTCCCCACGATCAGGGCCTGGGGCTTGGGTTTGAGAAGCCAGATTAGCAGTCACACTCCCCAAACATGGTCGAGCAAGGGCTCATGTGACACTTCCAGCCCTTTCTAGGAACTGGGGTCCTGTTTTGACCCATGTCGGTATTGCTGGTCTGCACAGCCTGACCCCCAGTGGGTCCTGGGCATCAGAGATTGGAGCTTTTGAATTGAACGCAGCAGATCTCCCTGCAGTGACTTTGGAGAGAAGTAAGCAGCAGCCCCGTCCCCAACAGCCTGTGAAGCCGCCTCCACAGCTCTGCCCCAGAGCCAGGCTGCGCAGCCTAATAATTATAAGAAACTGGCCACGCAGGGGTGCCTGGGTGGCTCAGTCGGTTAAGCATCCGACTCTTGATTTCAGCTCAGGTCCTGATCTCAGGGTCCTGGGATTGAGCCCCGAGTTAAGCTCCACACTCAGTGGAGTCGGCTTGGGGATTCTCTCTCTCCCTCTGCCTCTCTCCCCACTCACACAGACATACACTTGTGCTCACTTGCTCTCGAATGAATAAATAAATAAATAAAAGAGGGGTGCCTGGGTGGCTCAGTCAGCTGGACGTCTGCCTTCACCTCGGGTCATGGTCCCCGGATCCTGGGACCAAGCCCCATGTCAGGCTCCCCACTCAGTAAGGAGTCTGCATCTCCCTCTGCTGCCCCTTCCCCCCTGCTTGTGTGCTCTCTCTCTCTCTCTCTCTCCAATGGATAGATTAAGAATCTTTAAAAAAAAATAAAGGTTATGCATCCATTTTCCATCTTTATAGAAAGAAAGAAAGAAAGAAAGAAAGAAAGAAAGAAAGAAAGAAAGAAAGAAAGAAAGAAAGAAAGGAAAGAAAGAAAGAAAGAAAGAAAGAAAGAAAGAAAGAAAGAAAGAAAGAGAAAGAAAAGAAAGGCCACAGACACCATCATCAGCCTTTGCCGCCCCTTGGCAGGTAACCCAGTAAGCTCTTCAGTCAAACACGCTGAAGTAAACCCCGAGCCAATGAAGAGTTCACAGTGTGGAGCCCACTTGGCAGTCCCAATGGCTCATGCCTTGTTTATTCTCACCAATGCTCACTCTTATCATACAGCATGTGTTTCCACCGCTCTGCAAATGTCATCTGTCCAGAAAGAGAAAGTGGTTGGTTTGGGGTTTTTTTGTTTTTTGTTTTTCTCCACCGTGCAGGGGATGGAGCTCCCTCACAGATTGTTAACATTATGTTGAAAGGAGAAGACAAGTAGCTCAGACGCTGACATGGAGCATGTACATGACCGGCCTTGGGATTCCCCTGTCGCGGGGTTGGGGGGGTGGGGGCTGTGAGGGAGGCAGCGGAGGCGTGTGGTGGCGTCCGTGACATTGGATGGGACAGGAGGCTAGGGGTGGTGGGTGGCTTAGGTTGCTCAGCAAGCCCACCGTTTCTGCCTGGATTGCGCTTTCATTCGAGGGCTGGGAAGGGGCTGCTGGTGGTTATATTGAAGCCGAGTCCTCCCCACCACGCCATGGCACCGGTTCTGGTGGGTTCTCCACGGGTGTCGCAGCGGCGGGGCCCTTAGGTGCCCTTCCCGGGTCGCCCCCCGGAGCTGTCCAGAGTGCTGAACGCAGCCCCCGCCCTCAAGGCGCCCAAGGCTGCTGGCCTTCGTGGGCTCCGAGCCAGCGGTGGTCTTTGCTTTGGCTTTTATCCAAGACGTGCAGGGAAGAGTAGCTTCCTCTGCAGACAAAGCAGGGACGGGGGCCCCCCGGAAAGGGGAAGAGCCTGTTACGTTTCCTCCCTTAAGTTTCTGTCCTTATTCCAAAATGGCACATGGGATAGGGTCAGCCTTTGCCAGATGAGCTACAGTAAGTTTAAAGGTCGACAAGATACAGCTTGTGGCAAATTCAGGGTCTAGCTAAGATCTGTTGTTGGGTTTCCCACAAGACAATTTTCTTTTCCAAGGGGGCAACAGTGGCCACGTTGGCTAAATTTATTGGATAAAAGTGGCCAAGAGGTCAGGGACACCCCCAGCCCCACGGTCTGTCCAGCAAGGATGTTCCCTCCAGCCTTCAAGTGGGCCAACCCGGAAAGCCCGGAAAGCCCGGGACAGGCCCCACAGCCCACCAGGCCCTCCAGGCTGCGAGGACAGTGCCAGCGGGAGGCCACAGCGGGAGGCCCTGACATCTCCATAAGCACATCCTCATCCAGCTCCACCGGCTGGCAGGGTGCCTTTTGTGAGCGGCTCCGAGTCCCACTCCTGGCCAAATCTGGCATGACTCATTTGCTCCCGAAAAGGAATATAAATAAGCGCCACCGTACCTTGACAAGTTGACAGGATTGACAAGCGGAGTAAATTCCTGTATCTGAGACTCTGAGGAGGAGAGGTGATTTAGCAGAGCCAGCTGCCATCACCAGAAGAAAATAATTAAGGAAACCCAGCAGCGTGGAGGAAAGCTGAGTGTGCCGCGGGTCCCTTCTGCTGAAGGGATCTGTGATCACTGGCTGCAGGAGGAAACCCTCCCATGCCAGAAAGAAATCGGCTCAAGAAGCTCATGCTGGAATGAGGCCAAGCAAGGGGGTGGCCGGCACGAGGGAAGGAGGCTCTGAGCTGAGTGACTCCGGTGAGGGACTCAGTTCTAAAGGCCTCCTGTCTCAGGGTCAAGTACCCACTGCTTGCACCCCATACCCCGAGGAGTGCAGCCAGTCCTACACGGAGCTTCCCCTCAGCCTTCATGGAAGAGTCTGGAAGCCCTGTTTCAGAGCTCCTGCACACGTACACACAAATTGCCGTAAGCTTTGGAACGCCCAGGAAGATACGGACACTCTGTCCTCTGCCCAGGGAAGGGCACGCCCCTGTTCCCAGCCCAAAGGGATCCAAGTATTGCAACAGAAGAAAGATGCACCCTGCCCAAGTTCCACCTTTGTTTCACCTTTGGAACTCGAAGAAGTTCCCAGTAGGCTCAGGAATGCAGGCTTTCCCTCCCAGGGGGACCTCGCGTCCCCACCTCCTCACTAGCTGGTAGATGAAGGGGATGTATAGGCCCAGGGTCTTAGCAACGGCTGAGCCTGTAAAACTGGGCCTCATGGAGAAATTGGCAGAGTCCCTGGGTCAGGGACTGGATGTCCTCTCACCAGCTGGGTTCCAGCCACTGGACCTGTGCCAAGGACACGGAGACAGCAGGGGATGTGCTGGGCCCCCAGAACATCTCTCTCACACAGCCCAGAAGCAGCCAGAACTCGGTCAGGTGTGCCCCATCGTGCCAACCGGAAGTTCAAGCCTCCTTTTCTGTAAAGGTTGGCTGGTTCTAGATTGTGACTGTGGCTTTTGACAAAGTCTCAGAGTCCAAACAGCCACTGACATGGTGCAAAGCTGGAAGGGCCCCGGTGCCTCAATGGCCAGGCAGGGATGAGGGAAGGAGGCCAAGACTCCTAAATAGGTTCCCCAAAGGAAATCTTTGTGCTTTCCTAGGGCCTCCCGCAAAACAAACCGGAGGATGAAGCAGAACCCTCCCCTCTGGCCAAAGGCTCACTTCCCCAGGGCTTATTGTCCTGGGTGACTTCGGTCCCAGCCTAGCTAACGGGCCCCCTTGGTGGGAAGGGGGGACATTGTGGAGTGTGGTCAGCAATGCACTGATCTGTCTCCCTGGCCCTCCAGTGACAGGTGCTTGCTGCACAATCGCTCTGTGCCTGGGCTCTGCTCAGCCCTTTGCAGGAGAGCAGGATGTGACCAGCTCATGCCCGAGTCCCAGCGCCAGCTGAGTCGGCCAAAATCCCAAAGCAGATGCCTAGGTTAGGGGACTGCCCAGTCTGAGGGAAGGAGTGTGTTCCACTCCCCTGCCTGTGTGTGCAAGGGGGTGGATGTGAGTGTGTCGTATTGCAAGTACAGAAAGCCCACATCGACTAGAGCAGGGGCCAAAGGGGCATAGAGAGAGGATGGATAGGACTTTCTGAGGGTCCTTTCCCCATGCCTTAATGACAGTGAGGTTTGCGGGGGTGACGGGGTGGCGCTCCGTGGTTTCCGGCTGTTCCACTGAGCAGGTGGGCACCTCTGGAGACCTTCCAGGTCACGTCGGGAGGTGAGACCCTGCGAAGTCATCACCGCCTGGGAGCCAGTGGGCCCACATCTTGCTGCATCCCCATTTTCCATATGGGTAGGAGCGTGGGGGGGCTCTCACACTGAGCCTTTTCCACCCGGACCTGCCTTTTCCACCCCAAGTGGCCTCCAGCCCTGGGGGCGGGGGTGGGGGGTGCCCAACCGCCAAGAGCACGTGAGCAGGTCTTTGGGAGCCACATGGTCCTTCGGTGCTAATACTGTCCTCTCTGCTTTTCAGGAATAAAGTTCAGCATCCGGCCACAGCAGCCCTACAACGTGAGTTCCGAGAGTCCGATAAATCTCAGCACCAGCAGCCTGGGGACGGATGGGGAGGGCAGGGAAGAAAATCCGGAGCTCGTGTTGAATCTATTCACGGGAAGAAAAATGTGCGCGGTCCTTCCCAGGAGCCTTGGGAACAAAGCCCAGGGCTTTGGACCCATGAATTTCCCCTTCCTGTTAGCTGGGGGCTTTGGACTTGTGCTAATAGAGGCAGTAAATCCGCGCCAGCCTCCTTAGGCCGCCAGCCCCCCCATCCCTGCCCGCACCCCAAGCCAGGCAGGGCTTCCTGGGGGGCCTGCGCCATCTCGTGGCTGGAAAGACACTTGCACCTCTGGCCCGGAGACCGTGGCCAGCTAGGGGTGGGGCCTTTCAGGGACTCCGACCAGAGGGGTCAGTCCTCCTCCGGGTCGGCTGGTGTCTCCCCTCACAGGCCACGGAGGGGGCGGGGACCCCGGCCATAGCGAGGGCCTGACCCGTGTGACCCTCAGTGCCCCGTGCACCCTGATAACCACTTCTCTTCCTGCCCCAGGACCTCCCACCTGCCAGCTCCCAGGCTGGTGACCTGAAGGCGCCTACAGAGAAGGTCCTCCAAGACTTGTCCAGCCAGGCCCCGAGGGGCTTCAGCCTGCTGAGGCCTGGCCGGCCTCAAGCCCCCCTAAACACGGGGGCCCGGCTCCGGCCCCGGCAGCGCCGCCGGCGGCTGCTGATCAAGAAAATGCCAGCCGCCGCCGCCGCCGTCCCAGCCAACGGCTCCTCCTCCGGCGCCCTTGCGCAGTCAGCACCCTGGGCGCCGGGCGGCCCCGGGCTCAGCCTGCAGCAGAGCCAGCAGGAGCGCAAGCGGGTGATGCGGGAGGCGTGCGCCAAGTACCGGGCCAGCAGCAGCCGCAGGGCGGTCACGCCCCGCCACGTGTCCCGCATCTTCGTGGAGGACCGCCACCGCGTGCTGTACTGCGAGGTGCCCAAGGCGGGCTGCTCCAACTGGAAGCGGGTGCTCATGGTGCTGGCGGGCCTGGCCTCCTCCACCGCCGACATCCAGCACAACACCGTGCACTACGGCAGCGCCCTCAAGCGCCTGGACACCTTCGACCGCCAGGGCATCCTGCACCGCCTCAGCACCTACACCAAGATGCTCTTCGTGCGCGAGCCCTTCGAGAGGCTGGTGTCCGCCTTCCGCGACAAGTTCGAGCATCCCAACAGCTACTACCACCCGGTGTTCGGCAAGGCCATCCTGGCCCGCTACCGGGCCAACGCCTCCCGGGAGGCCCTGCGGACGGGCTCGGGCGTGCGCTTCCCGGAGTTCGTCCAGTACCTGCTGGACGTGCACCGGCCCGTGGGCATGGACATCCACTGGGACCACGTCAGCCGCCTCTGCAGCCCCTGCCTCATCGACTACGACTTCGTGGGCAAGTTTGAGAGCATGGAGGACGATGCCAACTTCTTCCTGAGCCTCATCCGGGCGCCGCGGAACCTGACCTTCCCCCGGTTCAAGGACCGGCACTCGCAGGAGGCCCGGACCACGGCGCAGATCGCCCGCCGGTACTTCACGCAGCTCTCGGCCCTGCAGCGCCAGCGCACCTACGACTTCTACTACATGGACTACCTGATGTTCAACTACTCCAAGCCCTTCGCGGACCTGTACTGAGGCGCGGGGCCCGCCGGCCGCAGGGCCGTCCCTCCGTCCGTCCCTCCGTCCGTCCCTCCGTCCGTCCCTGGGCCCTGGCCCGAGCGCCGCGATGGATCCGGGCACGTGGGCCGCGACTGCTCGGTGCCGCGGGCCCTCGGCGGGGAGGGGAGGCCCGGCCCTGAAGGGGGCCCCTGGCCTTTGCCCCATCCCCACTTCCTCACTCTTCAGCCGAGGAGGACGCCGCGGGTCGAGCAGGACCGCAGGAGTCCCGGCCGCGTAGACCCGGCTCGGCTAAGAGTCAGGACGACCAGGGGATTCTGAGGCCCGGAAGCCGAGGGCCCCAGCGGTCAGGGACCTCCTGCAGTCCCTTAGCCATTGCCTTGAACCAAACCACATGGTTTGCAGCTTTTCTATGACCCCGGGGGGTGGGGAGGTTCCCTTGGAATGAGGTTCCAAATAAAGCACATAGTTTCCAGAGTAGCGGTGTCTACACCTCGTGTTGGTCTACACCTTCCCCGGGCTCTGGCGGCTCTTTCTCCCTCCCCAGGACGGCCTGGGCCAGGCGCCTGCAGGTCCCGCCGCAGGGTGGCCCGGGCTGGGAGCGACCTGGGTGAGAGGGGAGCCGAGGACCTGGAGGCCCCCGTTCAGGGCCGGCGACACCCCCTCCCACTCAGGCTCCTGAGGCCAGGACGCGGTCCCCTGGGTCCTCTGGTGTCCGTATCAGCACATTTATATGAAAAGGAGAAGATCGACCCCATCCCTGTGGAGGCCCATGGGGTTCCCCTCTTGGTCACTTTGCGGGGGGCCCTGGGAGGACTGCCCGAGCTCTGTGGGCAAGCTGCCGAGGGGGGCTGCCCCTGGGGTCAACGGGGCACAGCTCGAGGGTCTCAGCGGGTGGGCCATGGCCGTTCCCCTCTCTAAGCACGGCTTTATCTCGAAGCTGTCCTCTGCAGACCCCCAGGTCCCGGCCTTGACCCCTGGCTCCGTTCACCCAACCAGACCACTTAAAGCTTTCGGGACCGCCCACCCTTCTCCACCCTTCTAGAGCTTCCGGTGGGCCTGTCTGCAGATCCCCCCAGGAGATGGCTCTCCATGTGTTCCCACTCATTGGGGGGAGATGCTGCTGGGCCCTAGGAGGAGACCCTGCTGGTCCCAAGACGTGCTGCTGGATCCCAACCAGCTTCCTTCCTGCTCCATCCCCCTTTCTACCTCCACTGTGGGCTCTGGGAACTTAGGGGGACCAAGGAACTGAGGTGGCCTCCAACCTGCTCAGGGCCACATGCATCTGGGAAGCCCGAGCTCGGGGTTGGCCCCCTTCCCCAGGTTCCAGCTGGAGTGGCCTGGCCATCTGGCAGGAGGAGCTCAGAGGGGTGGGAGGGAGGCCGTGGTCGGGGCCGGAGGGGCTCGCAGGTGTGGAGGCGGGGAGACAGATGCCAAGAGGCTCCGAGAGCCAGAGAGGCTGCCCCGTACCTTGGCCAAGGCTGGGTCAGCATGTGTGTGAGGAGGGCACAGGGCCTGGCCCGGGAACAGCTGCCCCTGGGCTGTGGTGCTCACAAAGTGAGATGGAAGTCACCGTGCACAACTGATGTCCCCGGTCCTGGATGCATCTGGGGAAGCCCGAGGCCGGTGTCACTGTGTCATCTCATCAGCCGGGGGACACCTGGAAGCCCAGCTTTGGCAGCCTGCCGGGCACTTCACCCACTGCTGCTGCTTGGAGACAATTAGGATTGCCATGGGGCCGTCCTTCCAGTGTGTGGGGGTGGGGGTGGGGGGTAGAGGAGAGGAATGTATGTGGGGGAGGAACTGAGAGCAGGGACGTCATCCCTCAGAGACAACCCGGCCTGAGTTGGGCGGAGGTACACGCACAACACATCCACCAAACAAGGGCTTTCCTGGGGCACCTGCGGGCTCCGTCGGTTAGGCCTCCAACTCTTGGTTTCGGCTCAGGTCACAGTCATGACCCAGCGCACAGCAGGGAACCTGCTGGAAGATTCTTTCCCTCTGCCCCTCCCGACTTTGGTCTGCCAGAGTGTCCTCTCTCTTACTCTCAAATAAATAAATAAATCCTTTAAAAAAAAAAAAAAAGAAGAAGGGGGCTTTCCTTCTGGGTGATGACCACGTGATGGCCCCCAGCATGACCTCCATCCAAGTGCAGACCAGAGGCCCTGAGACGTCACCCCTGAACCCACGAGGATGCGGAACCCAACTGCAGCCCCCAACCCCAGACTCATCTAGCCTCATCTAGCCCCAGGGCTTGGGGACAGGGGCCTCAGTGCCGACACAGGAATGTGTGTGGGTGTTTGTGGTTTGTGTGTCTGTGTGAGTGTTTGGGTGGGTCAGTGGGGGAGGCAGAGCGGGAGCGTGCGAGCATGCATGTGTGTGTTTGTGTGCGAGTGGTAGGGGTCGGAGTCTGGGGTGAAGGTGGTATGTACAGTGGGGGAGCCTGTGTCCGTGTCGGGGTGGGGAGGTACCGTGGACCGTCCTCCCTCCTCTCTGCGACCATCTTGAGCTCCTCCCCAGCCCCCCCATCTCTGCCCCTCTGTGGGTATAGTCTGGAGGGGGCCACAGGCTCCCCCCAGGGGTCGAGCAGGCCCAGGACCTTGGGGAAATAGTTGCCCAATCCTCAGTGCCCTTCCCCAGCTGGGTCTTCCAGATGGGGGGCCCCTCTGGACAGCCCACAGTGAAGTCCCTGCCAGGCCTTCCCCGACGTGAGCCTCCCTCTCTGAGAGGTGAGGAGCATAGACATCCCCAAAACCTAGGGTTCCCACTGGGGCCTGGGGTCCCCGGGGGAGGTGAGATGTGAAGTCCAGCCAGGTGGTCAGGTGTAAGATCCAGGCACCCCTGGCCCCTGAGACGTGGCCAAGCCCTCCTTCCCCCCTTGTCCCCCAGGCTTGGCGGCACACACAGGGGCCCAGGACAGAGGCGGCCAGGCAGGTGACAGAGACAGCCTTCAGCACTCACCTCCCCTCCCAGGCAGGGCCCGCTTGCCGATCTTAACCTCCAGGTGGAGCCCGCTGCAGGGGTTGGGAGCCCCAGGAGAACCCCAAGGCCAGCTGGTGGCCTGCCCTCACTGTCCCCCCATCTCCTCCTCGGCCTGTCCCTTCTGGGGAACTTCCTGGCTGATCAAGGGGACTTCCTCCTGGTGTCTCCCGACCACCCCACCCCAGAGCTGGGCATGGGGGCGCTCAGGAAGACGATGGGCCCCAGAATGCACCGGGTGGCCTCCAGGAGCCGGGGGCAGGTACAGGGCTGGGGGGCTGAACAGGGCTGACACAAGGCTGTCGCCACCTCTGGGGACCCATGCTGATGGCACGATGATGCTGGATGAAGAATCAACAGGCACCTGGGGTAGACTCAGAGGAGCCTCACCTGGGCGGGGAGAGGCCGCTCCTGCTGCAGGGCTGCAGGGTTGAAGGGAGAGGCAGGAGGAGGGGAGGAGAGCCTGGGCTCTGGTCCATCCTGCAGGCCTGGCCTGGAGGTGAGGCCGTGCCCCGACTTCATGCTGCCCAGGAGGCCTTTCGCACAAGAGTCCCAGCTATGAGGTGGCCGCCCGGGGTCATTGGGAGCAGACGCTCCGGCTCCCAGCCCCTGGCTCCCCCTGGGCCGGCCTCCGGAAGGGAGCAGGGGGGTGGGGGGGTGGGCGGGGAGGCTGCACAGCTGCTCCCCAGGCTCGGGAACCCGGGGCAAGTGGCAGGGGCAGGAGCCAGAGGCCAGAGTGAGTCATTCCACGGGGCGTAGGGTCAGCAGGGGATCCAGGGCCGGGCCTGGCTGCACTGGGCGCTGGGCGCTGAGCGCTGGGTGCTCGGTGCCGGGCCTGACTGTGCTGGATGCTGGGCGCTGGGTGCCGGGGCGGGCCTGGCTGTGCTAGGTGCCGGGCGCTGGGTGCTGGGGTGGGTCTGGCTGCGCTGGGTGCTGGGTGCTGGGCCGGGCCTGGCTGCGCTGGGTGCCGGGCGCTGGGTGCTGGGCTGGGCCTGGCTGCACTGAGTGCTGGGCACTGGGTGCCAGGGCGGGCCTGGCTGCGCTGGGTGCCGGGCGTTGGGTGCCGGGCCGGGCCTGGCTGCGCTGGGTGCTGGGTGATGGGCCGGGCCTGGCTGTGCTGAGTGCTGGGCGCTGGGTGCTGGGTGCCGGGCCAGGCCTGGCTGCGCTGGCCGGGACAGCCCTCAGCCACCCGGGGGCGCCAAGTCCTCGCTCCTGAGCAGCGGCCCAGGCTCCCAGCCGGCCCACAAGGTGGCAGCAACACCCCGGTTCTGCGGCTCCTTGTGGGAGGGTGAAGGGTCCCCCACGGAGGCTGGTCCCCCACCGAGGCCGGTCCCCTGGCCTCTCTCCCTCCGTGGAGCCGTGGGGGCCCTGCCTCTCCAGGTGCCCCGGGGTGACCCAAAGTTCGCCGCAGCCCCGAGGACCCACCTGCTCGGCTCCGTCGCCCCACCCCGCCGCCTCAGCTGGGCCAAGGGGCAGGAGGCCCCAGGATTCTCTCCCAGGTACAGACAGGGGAGGACACAGAGCACCGAAGGGCCACGCGTCACCGGGGTGAGCAGGGAGCTGCCCCCCCCCCCCCGGCAGGCTTGGCCTTGGGGCTGGATCCTGACCCGCCTTAGCACCCGAACCCCGCTGTCTCGTGGCCCCCGCAGACCCCACGCCGGCCAGGCCCCCCCACTGGCCTGCCCAAACGTCAGGGCCATTAAGGGCCTGCTGTGTCTGTCCGAGGGTGGCCTCAGCACGCACATATGTGACACATTCATGCAGACATGCCCCCACCCAGACCCACCCAGACCCTTCCCCACAAACACACGCGCACAGACGCAGGTGCAAACAGACGTGCAGATACACACGCGCACCGGTGAACGCTCGCCTACGGGCACACACAGGCCCACGTGCACCTGGACACAGTCACACAGAAAGGTGCACAGCTAACCGTGTGCCTCTCACTGTGGCGAGACAGGAAGGATGGGAAAGCCCATCGCTGCCTTCCATCATATCTATTTCCGCTCCTTCTATTTTAAGATTGTATTTATTTATTTGGGGGAGAGAGAGAGAGAGAGAGAGAGATAGAGAGAGAGAGAGAGCGCACAGGCAGGGGGAGCAGCAGGCCGAGGGAGAAGGAGAAGCAGGCTCCCCGCTGAGCCGGGGCTGGCTCCCAGGACCCCAGGGGTCATGACCTGAGCTGAGGGCAGGTGCTTAACCGACTGAGCCCCCCAGGAACCCCTCCACTTCTCTGTCCATCTCTCCCCGCCGCCCTTTCGGAGCCAGCCCTCCACTCACTCTGGGACCCCAAGCCCTTGGTGTCCTCCTCAGAGACATGGCTCGCACCCTCACCCCTCCGGCCCTGGGCCACCAGGCTTCCCTGTCCGGACTCGATCTTTGAAAACAAAAAAGCCAAAATCCCACATCCCCTCCAGCTATTGCCCCGTTTCTGTCCCCTCCTGCTCCACGAACTATTTCCTGCTGCCCCTCCCTCCACTGGCCTTGGGCTCTTGAACCCG